TCAATTTTACGATTTTAAAATTTTTCAATTTTTCGGCTTTAATTGTTCGGTTTTTAATTTTTCCATTTTTCGTTTTTTAATTCCTCGATATTTTTCAGTTTTTGTGACAGCTTTTCTACTTTACAGCATTGACGATTCTATAATATTTAGATTTTAGAATTTTTGGAATTTACAATTTTCCGACTCGTTAATTTTTTCGATTTTTAAGTTTCTGGTTTTTAGTTCTCTCTTTAAAATTTTCGTTTCTTTGGTTCTTCGATTTGCGATTTTTCGATTTTGCAATTTTTCGTTTATTCAGTTTTTCAAGTTTTCAACTTTTCTAATCAAAAAACGGAAAGCGACAAAATTACAAAATCGAAAATCAAAAATGGAAAAACGAAAAAGTATAAAACAAAAACTTAGAAAGAAATCGGAAAATCGGATAATTGAGAAATCTAAAAATTCCAAAATTGAAAAAATTAAAAAATTGGGAAAGAAGGAACGAATTGAGAAATCAAAAATTGAAAATTTGAAAAATTTAATACAGGGTAAATTATGAAGGCTTAAGAAATACTCATTGAAAATGTAAAGGAAGTAAAAAACCAAAATTGTAATATAAAATCGAGAAAATGAAAATCAAAAAAACGGGAAAAAAACTTGAAAAGCTGGGGAAACGAAAAACTGAAAATCAATTCTTCGAGTTTTCGTTTTTATATTTGTCAGTTTTTCAATTTTCCAACTGTTGAATACTTAAATTTTTTGAATTTGCAATTTTTCGATTTGCAATTTCATGACTTTTCAATTTTTAATTTTTCAATTTTTCATTTCTTTAATTTTTCGATTAGCTATTTTCAATTTTTTATTTTCACCATTTTTTCAAATTTTGGGTTTTTCAATGTTCTTATTTTATAATTTTTTTCAATGTAAAATTTTGAAATTTTTGGATTTTAAAATTTTTCGGTTTCCAGTTTTTCGATTTCCCAGATTTTTGATTTTTAATTTTTAGTTTCGTCAATTTTTAATTTGTAATTTTTCTAGTTTTCACTTTAAATATTAAATAATAATAAGAGTTTTCAAAAACTTTCACATTTTCAATTTTACGATTTTAGAATTTTTCAATTTTTTGACATTAATTTTTCGGATTATAATTTTTCCATTTTTCATATTTTAATTTATTTTTTATATTTTTTATATATTATAATTAATAATTTGTAATTTTTCTAGTTTTCACTTTAAATATTAAATAATAATAAGAGTTTTCAAAAATTTTCACATTTTCAATTTTAGGTTTTCAGAATTTTTCCATTTTTCATTTTTTAATTCCTCGATATTTTTCAGTTTTTTTGACGGCTCTGCTACTTTACGGTATTGACGACTCCATAATTTTTTTATTTTAGAATTTTTGGAATTTCCAATTTTTCGCTTTCTCGTTTTCTCGTCTATCCAATTTTCCGACTCATTAATTTTTAAAATTTTTAAGTTTAAGTCGTTTTTAGTAATCTTTTCCAATGTTTCATTTCTTCGGTTCTTCGATTTGCAATTTTTCGATATGCAACTTTTTCGATTTTGCAATTTCTCGTTTATTCAGTTTATCGATTTTTCAACTTTTCGAATAAAAAAAATACAGAAAAACCACAAAATTGTAAAATCGAAAAATCAAAAACGAAAACGTATCACACGAAACTTAGAAAGAAATCGGAAAATCGGATAATTGGGAAATCTAAAAATTGCAAAATTGAAAAAATTAAAAAATTTGAAAAAAAGGGAGGAATTGAAAAATCAAAAATTGAAAGTTTGAAAAAGTTAATACAGAGTAAATTGTAAAGTCTAAAAAAATACTCACTGAAAATGTAAAGGAAATGAAAAAACGAAAATCGTAAAAAACTTGAAAAGTTGGGGAAACGAAAAACTGAAAAAACAACTCTTCGAGTTTTCGTTTTTAAATTTGTCAGTTTTTCATTTATTCACTTTTTCAGTTTACAGCTTTCAATTGTTTAATTTCTTCATTTTTTCAAATTGTCAGTTTTTTAATGTTCTGATTTTATAATTTTTCTTTTTTTCAATGTGAAATTTTTCAATTCCTGACTCTTTCAATTTTTCGATTTTCCAATTTTAAGGTTTTTTAATTTTTAGTTTCATCAATTTTTGATTCGCAATTTTTCTAGTTTTCATTTTAATTAAATAATAATAATAGTTTTTAAAATTTTTCACATTTTCAATTTTACGGTTTTAGAATTTTTCAATTTTTCGACTTTAATTCTTCGGTTTTTAAATTTTCCATTTTTCATTTCTATAATTTTTTGATTTTAGAAATTTTGGAATTTCCAATTTTTCGCTTTCGCGTTTTTAGTTCTCTAAATTAAAAACGAAAAAGTATAAAACGAAAACTGAAAGAAATCGGAAAATCATATAATTGAGAAATCCAAAATTTGCAAAATTAAAAAAATTTTAAAAATTTGAAAAGGAAGGAATTGAAAAATAAAAAATTGAAAATTTAATACAGGGAAAATTGTGAAGTCCAAAGAAATGCCCACTGAAAATATAAAAGAACTGAACAAACGAATAATATAAAATCGAGAAAATGAAAATTAAAAAATCGGGAAAAAAAACTTGAAAAATTGGGGAAACGAAAAACTGAAAATCAACTCTTCGAGTTTTCATTTTTAAATTTGTCAGTTTTTCAATTTTCCAACTTTTAGATATTTCAATTTTTAGAATTTGCAATTTTTCGATTTGTAATTCCACGAGTTTTCAATTTGTAATTTTTCAATTTTTCAGTTTTCAATTTTTCGATTTTCCAATTTTAAGGTTTTTTAATTTTTAGTTTCATCAATTTTTGATTTGCAATTTTTGTAGTTTCCATTTTAATTAAATAATAATAATAGTTTTTAAAATTTTTCACATTTTCAGTTTTACGATTCTAGAATTTTTTTTTCGACTTTAATTCTTCGGTTTTTAATTTTTCCAATTTTCATTTTTTAATTCCTGGATATTTTTCCGCTCTTGTAATAGTTTTTCGACCTTACAGTATTGACAATTCTATAATTTTTAGATTTTAGAATTTTTGGAATTTCCAATTTTTTGCGTTCTCCTTTTTTCTTCTATCCAATTTTTCGACTCATTAATTTTTTCGATTTTTAAGTTTCTCGTTTTTAGTTCTCTCTTTAAATTTTTCATTTTTTTGGTTCTTCGATTTGCAACTTTTTCGATTTTGAAATTTTTCTTTATATAGTTTTTCGATTTTTCAACTTTTCGAATAAAAAAACGGAAAAACTACAAAATTGCAAAATCGAAAAATCATAAATGAAAAAACGAAAAAGTATGAAACAAGAACTTAGAAAGAAATCGGAAAATCGGATAATTGAGAAATCAAAGAATTACAAAATTGCAATAATTAAAAAAATTGAAAAGAAGGAAGGAATTGAAAAATCAAAAATTGAAAATTTGGAAAATTTAATAAAGGGAAAATTATAAAGTCTAAAGAAATACCTACTGAAAATGTGAAGGAAATGAAAAAACGAAAGTTGTAATATAAATTCGATAAAATGAAAATTAAAAAACGTGGAAAAAAACTGAAAATTTGGAGTAACGAAAAATTGAAAAATCAACTCTTCGAATTTTTCCATTTTTCATTTTTAATTTCTCTATATTTTTCAGTTTTTGTGAAAGTTTTTCGACTTTACAGTTTTGACGATTCTACAACTTTTAGATTTTAAAATTTTTTGGGGTTTTCCAAACGGAAAAACTACAACATTGTAAAATCGAAACATCAGAAATGAAAAAACGAAAAGGTATATAACAAAAACGGTGAAAGAAATCGGAAAATCGGATAATTGAAAAATCCAAAAATCCCAAATTGAAAAACTAAATAATTGGAAAATCGAGGAATTGGAAAATCAAAAATTGAAAATTGAAAAGATAAAGGAAACGAAAAACGAAACATTGTAACATAAAATCGAGAAATTCACAATTAAAAAAGCGAGAAAATGAAAAATAAAAATCAATTACTTGAAAAATTAAAAAAAATCGAAAAATGAAAAATTGAGAAACTGAACAATCGAAAAAATGAAAAATTGTAATATCCAAAAATTGCAAACTTGAAAACTTGTAAATCGAAAAACTGAAATATCGAAAAATTGCAAAAAGAAAAATCTAGAAACTAAAAAACCGAAAAATTGAAAAAAGATAAAAAGAATAAGAAAAATGAAAAGTTACAAATTAAGAATTTGAAAAATTGTACAAACATAAATTGAAAAATTTGGAAGTCGAGAAATTGAAAAGTTGAAAAAATTAAGTAAAGAAATCTAGATAAAAAATCGGATAGACGGCGAACGGACAAACAGACAGACATGGGGACTATTTCTTCAGTCATGAAAGTTCGAAAAAAGATAGGAGTAGGGTCGAAAGTAAAAACATAAAAGGAATAAAATTACGAAGGTTTTTGCTTGGAAATAGTTTGCGAATCGTCCTTTCGCTCTTAATATAGTCGAAATGTGGACGCTCTCTCGGTTGATTTATGAATTTATGAAATTTCCAGCTCGGAGCATCCTTTAAATGCAAAAATTTGCGCCGGACGATAGTTTAGCTTCGTCTAACTGGATTCCGGGGTGTGAAAGCCGCCTCGTGCCCGTATATGTCATTCAATCGAGGAAGAATCCTTGCTCCTTAGCCCCCTCCAGGACTTTTTAAGAATGCCAAGTTGATTTTTTGCGGAAAGTTTCGTTCGACGCGTTAAAGGGTATCCTCGTTCCGGCGAACTCGTTCGAGTCCGGGTAAAAAGGCCGAGTCGAGTTCGCTCCGGGCTGAAAAATGTTCTGAGGGTCCGTGAATCCGCGATCTCGGAATCGCAGCAGCAGCATTATTAGGTTTGTTTTTACTAATGAACGTTTTAACAAATGATCTTTCAGGAGGTTTTCATATCGAGGTGGGCGGGTTGGCGCGTCGCCGTCACATTATCAATTTATCCGGGCTCCTCGGTATGCGCAAGCGTTAATAACGGGGTGATAGATTGACTTACGTACTATATCAAGTGCTGTCTCCGCGAATAACACACTGCATAAAACTGTAAAAAGCAGGAGCAGCACTCCAGCCATTCTGCCCCGGCGTCACTCAACAACCGTCATCGAATGACTAATAGTTACACTTTTGACTCTAATATATTTCGCGTCAAAAACATTTTACTAATGATCATTGCGGCTGATAGAGATCTGCGCGGGGCAAATGATGCATAACACATGTAAATGCCGGTGCAGGGGCACATTAGTGCGCTGCCATTGTTAACGGCCCTCTCAATAACATCGATAGCATCATCAAACAATGCCAAATGCGGTTAGCCGGCCACTACGTTCGAATTTGTATTTACTTTATTTTACCGTCGACCGAGCAAATGCGACGCCACATTAACTCGACATGATGGCCGAAAGTCCACGTGTGTGCGGCTTATCGCGCTTTTTTATTTTTAATTTTTACGAGTACGAGCCACTCCGGAGCTCTACAAACACCAGCTTGCTGAGCCGAGGCCGTGGAACGCGATTCCTGTCAACAAATCGACCGTTCCAATAAAACTTTCATGCAAAATAGCTCTCCGAAACAATAAAATTGGGATATGACAGCCGCCCGCTTGTAAAACGGCCATTTTATTTATGCGGCATTACGGCGAGCATCGACATCTTCGGAAGCCGCATTTACGAATGATAAAATTCCCTAAATAATTATTGAGCAGGGACGGAGTGCGACACCGGCGAGTTCCAATATCGTTTGCCGAAACCGCTTAGTGTCGTAATATTTGGACAGGCACATGGCTTGTTTCGCTGGATGTCGATCGTAAATAACCCGAAGAGAGGAAAATGAATTTCGCTAAAACGAAGAGCTCGTCATTTTTTCATGAGTACCACCTTTTCCCCTTCCGGAGTAATCATAGCTGTTGAGAAACTAAACAGAAACAGCTGTCCATATAATATTAACCATCCTGAACAATCGCCTGTCTTTTTAGATTCCAGGGTACTAATTCCATGAACCTTGTCGTCAAGTTCGAACCTGAAAAAATTCAAGGAACGATGTGAAGAAGGTGGTGTCCCAATTTGAATTTTTTTTTTAATTTGAATGAAAACACAAGTCCACCACCATGGTCCATAACTGAAACCATCGCAGTCAGTAAAAATAAATGTTAAACCTAACCACTTCCGCCCTTGTTTTCAGGCTATACTCCGTTTACCGAACAGATGGAGTTGTAAACGTGTGTGACCTTCACGTGATGTTTCAAAACCCAAATAATAGTGGTAGTTTAATGCAGTCTTTTTAAAGACTCTTATTTGATTTTGGAATGGAAAACCAAGTCGAGTTTCTTATTATAAATTTGGAGGAATTAAATCCCTATACAGAATTTAGTTTCTGAGATAATAAAAACAGTTGTCGGCACGTGAAGAGCACGTGATCACTCCATTTATTCGGTAAACGGACTGCTGTGTTTAATATACAAAATATAATTTTATATTCAGCACCTTTGAAATGTCAAAAAATGTCGTTCACTCTGCTAATAACACGACAAAATAATTAACAAAAGACGTTCCAGAGCCACCCTTGATACCAAATAATCAAATTTTAAACTATCCCAAAAATGGGCATAATTATTTTAATTTTCTTTGAAAAATTATAAAAATCTTTTGCGGTTTTTGTTTTTTAATAATCTGGATGAAGAAAAAACCATTAGTGGTTTTTATACTTTCGCAACTTTTTTTGTTTCTTCAGCTTTTGATTATCAATTTTTCTAGTTTTTAAGTTTCATTTTTTCAATTTTTCAATTATAGAACTTTGGAATTTTTCAATTTGGGTTTCCCAAGTTTTCAGTTTTTATTTTTTCAATTTTTGGATCCAGCTTTTTGTTTTCCGTACATTTTCAGTTGTTCTATGTACATTTGGGGCCGCTGAAGTCATTTCAGCTTTCATTTCTTTGATAACTCCAATGGCTTTTCCAGAATCGTCCTTTGAAATATATAACAATACGACCAATTTTCAACGAAATTTTCGAAATTATACTAAATACAGTTTCTTGTAGATTTAGGGTTGTAGAAATCATACCCGCTTTCATTTCTTGGATAACTAAAATGGTTTTTCCAGAATCGTCCTTTGAAATATATAAAAATATCGAAAATTTGACCAATTATCGACCAATTTTCAACGAAATTTTCGAAATTTTACTAAATACATTTTCTTGTAGATTTAGGGTTGCAGAAATCATATCCGCTTTCATTTCTTCGATAACTCTAATGGTTTTTCCGGAATCATCCTTTGAAATATATAAAAATATCCAAAATTCGACCAATTATCAACGAATTTTCAACGAAATTTTCGAAATTTTACTAAATACATTTTCTTGTAGATTTAGGGCTGTTGAAGTCATATCCGCTTTCATTTCCTCAATAACTCCAATGGTTTTTCCAGAATGGTCCTTTGAAAGACATACAAATATGCAAAATACGACCAATTTTGAGCGAAATTTTCCAAATTTCACTAAATACATTTTCTTGTAGATTCCGGGCCGCAGAAGTGATTTCCGCTTTTATTTCCTCGATAAATTCAATGGTTTTTCCAGAATCGTGCTTTGAAATATATAGAAATATCCAAAATTCGAACAATTATCGACCAATTTTGAACGAAATTTTCGAAATTTTACTAAATACATTTTCTTGCAGATTTCGGGCTGCAGAAGTCATATCCGCTCTCATTTCTTCGATAACTCCAATGGTTTTTCTGGATTCGTCCTTTGAAATCCATAAAAATATGCAAAATATCACCCATTTTCCACCAATTTTCAACGAAATTTTGGAAATTTCACTAAATACATTTTCTTGTAGATTTCGGACTGCAGAACTCATATCCGCTTTCATTTTTCGATAACTCCAATGGTTTTTCCAGAATCGTCCTTTGAAATATATAAAAATATCCGAAATTCCACCAATTATCGACCAATTTTCAACGACATTTTCGAAATTTTACTAAATACATTTTCTTGCAGATTTCAGGCCGCAGAAGTCATTTCCGCTTTCATTTCTTCGATAACTCCAATGGTTTTTCCAGAATCGTCCTTTGAAATACATAAAAATATGCAAAATACGACCAATTTTCGCCCAATTTTCAACGAAATATTCTAAATTTCACTAAATACAATCTCTTGTAGATTTCGGGCTGCAGAAGTCATATCCGGTTTCATTTCTTCGATAACTCCAATGGTTTTTCTGGATTCGTCCTTTGAAATCCATAAAAATATGCAAAATATCACCCATTTTCCACCAATTTTCAACGAAATTTTCGAAATTTTACTAAATACATTTTCTTGTAGATTTCGGGCTGCAGAAGTCATATCCGCTTTCATTTTTCTATAACTCCAATGGTTTTTCCAGAATCGTCCTTTGAAATATATAAAAATATCCGAAATTCCACCAATTATCGACCAATTTTCAACGAAATGTTCTAAATTTCACTAAATACAATCTCTTGTAGATTTCGGGCTGCAGAAGTCACATCCGGTTTCATTTCTTCGATAACTCCAATGGTTTTTCTGGGTTCGTCCTTTGAAATCCATAAAAATATGCAAAATATCACCCATTTGCCACCAATTTTCAACGAAATTTTCGAAATTTCACTAAATACATTTTCTTGTAAATTTCGGGCCGCAGAACTCATATCCGCTTTCATTTTTCGATAACTCCAATGGTTTTTCCAGAATCGTCCTTTGAAATATATAAAAATATCCGAAATTCCACCAATTATCGACCAATTTTCAACTAAATTTCCGAAATTTTACCAAATATATTTTTTTCTAGATTTCGGGCTGCAGAAGTCATATCCGGTTTCATTTTTCGATAACTCCAATGGTTTTTCCAGAATCGTCCTTTGAAATATATAAAAATATCCGAAATTCCACCAATTATCGACCAATTTTCAACGAAATTTTCGAAATTTTACTAAATACATTTTCTTGCAGATTTCGGGCTGCAGAAGTCATATCCCCTCTCATTTTTTCGATAACTCCAATGGTTTTTCCTGAATCGTCCTTTGAAATATATAAAAATATGCAAAATACGACCAATTATCGACCAATTTTCAACGACATTTTCGAAATTTTACTAAATACATTTTCTTGTAGATTTCGGGCTGCAGAAGTCATATCCGCTTTCGTTTCTTCGATAACTCCAATGGTTTTTCCAGAATCGTCTTTGAAAAACATAAAAATATCCAAAATACGACCAATTTTCGACCAATTTTCAGCGAAATTTTCGAAATTTCACTAAATACATTTTCTTGTAGATTTCGGGCTGCAGATGTCATACCCGGTTTCATTTCTTCGATAACTCCAATGGTTTTTCCAGAATCGTCCTTTGAAATATATAAAAATATGCAAGATACGACTAATTTTTGACCAATTTTCAACGAAATTTTCCAAATTTTACTAAATACATTTTCTTGTACATTTCCGGCTGCAGAAGTCATATCCGCTTTCGTTTCTTCGATAACTCCAATGCTTTTTCCAGAATCTCCTTTGAAATATATAAAAATATCCAAAATTCGACCAATTATCGACCAATTTTCAAGGAAATTTTCGAAATTTTACTAAATACATTTTCTTGTAGATTTCGGGCTGCTGAAGTCATATCCGCTTTCATTTCTTCGATAACTCCAATGGCTTTTCCAGAATCGTCCTTTGAAATATATAAAAACATCCAAAATTCGACCAATTATCGACCAATTTTGAAAGAAATTTTCGAAATTTTATTAAATACATTTTCTTCTAGATTTCGGGCTGCAAAAGTCAAATCTGCGTTCATTTCTTCGATAACTCCAATGCCACCCATTTTCGACCAATTTTCAACGAAATTTTCGAAATTTCACTAAATACATATTCTCGTTGTGTAATTTTGGAAAGAATTGGAAAAGGATCAAACATTTCATCAGCCTTAACATACCGTAAGGGTATATTAAAAAACAGGAAGCAATATTTTAGTTCTAATTCAATTTTGTTTCGTATTTTTTTTGTGAGCGATTTTAGCCCGGTTGTCGTTTTAACCAGTTCATATTTTCTGCCTTTAGAAAATCGAAAATTTTTCTCGATTTTCG